TTCCGAAATCATGGCGCCACTCTGTGATGAAATCAATCCGAAATCACGTTGAAATTAAGTGAAATCATTGAAAGCACCGAAATCACCGAAATCACGTGATTTCAACTCTCTAAAATCATTTTCTAAAACACGCTGCCATCTTGAAATCATGCCGAAGTTATTTAAAATTAATGAATTTTTCGTAAGACATGCGATGAACTTTATTCATAATTATTTCAAATATTTCATTTCCTCGACAATCACTGGCTTCGAATCTATGAAATTATTCGAAGTCAGTTGCAGTCGCGAAATGATATCACGATTCACTTGAAGTCATCGATTTCATTTCTTGCCGAAATCACTTGAACCAATCCCAAAATCACGAAAAATCAACTCTGAAATCCTGTGAAGTCGAATTCATTTCGAAATCACGGTGTCACTTAACGGTGTGTCTATTCGCACCAAATACGGGTGACGTACGGATAATGTATGGGTCGTACGGCTAATCGGGTGGCCCTTCGGTTTAGCCTAAACTACGGGGTAAAAATGTCTTCGACGGATTGTTCTACGGGCGAAAAATGACTGCTACCAAATTATCTGAACGGAACCAAATCATCTCGTCAAATTAGCTGTACGGTTGTATGTACATGAACCCGTAATTCTTGAAAATTCGCAGATTTCGGATTGTATAAGCGCGTAAATTGAAGTATTATTGCCATTTATAGAATTTTCGATATATGAGGGATTCTTCGTCGAGTGAGCATATATTACCTGTATGTTTCTAATCGTCAAAAATTCTGAAAAAGTTGGGAGCGTTTCCTGATGAGAAAATGTTCTTTGTAAACTTCGTCAGAATTTTTTATTGTGTATTAGCGAAGACAAATAAAGGAGTTTATACGGAATCCAGAACAGGTTCCAACCCCTTCAACTCAATATATTAATTTTAGAGAACGAAATTTCATAGCCAAATGTTTTGCTTTTTTTTATTTTGAATTTCCATTTTTTTTGTCGCATTATTTGAATACATCTTAACCCATTTCATTGAAAAAAAACATATTCTTCTTTCCGCAATGTGAACAATTTTAGGATTCTCAAAAAATGTGAGAATAATCAATACAGGGAATGAAATTAATTTATAATTGTTCTGAGGGGAGACTTCAATTTGCTGGCGGGAAAAAAATCAAAAGAAGTGCAATTTTTTTCTTATGTTTTTCTGCCTGAAAAGTACTACGTACTCGAAATTCACTCTACGCACGCTCTTGGGCTTTACGCACTTGTATACAAAAATAACTACTTTTCCCCCACTACCGTTCCAAATAGTGAATTCATAAAAAAAATAGAATATGTCACACGTGGGTACGAAAAAATGAAACTTTACACGCTATTAACACAATATATTATTTTTCGTTAGCTGATTCAAGTATCCACTCTGAAAAAAAAATTATAAACTAATTCCATTCAATATATCGATCATTCTAAAATTTTGTTCATGAAATGCAACAGTATACGAACGTTCAAATTGGAGGAAAAACATATTTTCATTTTTTTTCTTAATTCAATGCGTGCAAATGCATTCAAATAAGGTGGGTAAAAATTAAAGAAATGAAAAAAAAAGTTTAATAAATTTTGCTTTAATCTTTTTTTCCGACTCTAATTTATTAAGTTGAGTGGGTGAAAACCTATCTCGGATTGACTATGGGCGTCTATTCTTCTTTGAGTAGACGCACCCAAGGAACACACCAGGAAACACTTCTATTTGTAATTCGCCAGATGCAAATTGGTCATGTAATTTTGTTTTACGTCCTCAATAATATAGATTTTCTTCTGACATTTGAGCCCGGGATCAATCATTCTTCATTTGTTTATGTAAAAAATAATATCTTTTTTCAACTTGAGAACAAAATCTGGGTAATTGTTCATTCTCCCGCACATTTTCATTCTTTTCTGAAAACCATTTAATACTTTATAAAACACTTCAGGAGAATTTATTAGCTACTCATCATTATAGCATTGAGAAACGACCCTTTCACATTCAAATAATTTTCACAATTGACAATCGAGATACTGACCCCCTGCAGGTATACCTGGGTCCTTTTACAGCCGCGCGCTTGTTCAGTGGGAAGTAAAAAAAGGCAATAAACCTTTATTATATTAATGAATTCAGTTTTGAGGTCTGGGGAACTTCCGATAGACATATTCGAGAATTCCCAAACTTTTCGAAGAAAATGGGACACTTTTCTCCATTCCGGTATTTCCCAAATGGCTAAAAAACCAGAATCATATGAGTTTCCATTTCTAGAACGCACAAATAAGATCAACTATAGGGAACATACATTTCCTTCAGGTTAATCAAATTTCCCTCTCAACTCAATGAGTGGATTTGCTTAAACTGTAAGAGTGGAAGGGGATGTATCTATACAAATTTGTATAGATTGAATAAAAATTTGTCATTTTATATACTTTGAATTTCGCATTTTTTCAAAGATTAGAAGCCAACCGTATAAAGCTGTGCTGTAAATTTTAAATTTCAATTTAATTTTATCTGCTGGGACAACACGTACATACGAAAAAATTTCATTGAAAAGCCTAGCAAATTCACTAGATAAATCTATTGAATTTCTATTGAACTTTTTATTAGTTTTTGGCCTATTCTACTGAAAGATTCCTCATCTCCTTTGCGATTTTCTTTTCATCACAATGTACAGTAGCAAATATTTTATCAACAAATCGATGGAATTTGATTTTTCTATACATCTCATAATCTCATTTTATTCAGATATTTTCTATAGAAATTTCTGGACTCATATTTTCCAAATTTTTTTGTCAAGAAAATAAGAAAAAAAATGAAATGGAAATAGCTTAGAAAATTCATGCCAAGTAATTCTTATAAAAAATGTCTCAATAGAAAAAGTTTTAGATAAAGATAAAATACTTCGGATTTTGTTTATGAAATGCGTTCTCTTGGACATTTTCTATAAAAAAACTCGTTGTAAACCTGCGGAATTATTCCATAGGAATAGCTATAAAGTATAGTTATTATTATAGAGTTTTCAATAGGAGTTGAATAGAAATACAATCGAATATTCTATTCAATTCGTTAGATTTTCCTATCAAATTTTTTCGTCAATGATGGGGTCAAATCGGGCAGAAATCATGTTAGAAAAAGGAAGAACAAATTCCTTTCGTACGTATGCTCTTTTTTTTCTAAAATTATTCAATTTTTTTTCAAGTTGAAAATGCAGCCACGTAAATCTAAGTTCGGTATTTAAGTGGTGTCCAATGTTTCCATATAAAACGACGAGCCCATACAGATGTATCCCGTGCAGATAATTCAACTAGACAATATGACTCAGTTTAGATAACTTAGTAGTGGTCATTTTTGATCCGTACATTAATCTGTACAAGACATTTTTACCCCGTAGTTCAGACTGAACCGAAAGGCCACCCGTAGATTAGCCGTATGACCCGTACATTAACCATACATTACCCGTACATCACCCGTATTTGGTGCGAATAGTCACACCGGTCACTTAATCAGGCGGTGAGTACACGTATGAAAAAATTATATAGAAATTTTCTATACGTATTGCGTATAGAAATTCTATAGGATTTCCGTATATGATATTCAGATATTTCTATACTAATGTTTTCAATACGAATTATTTCTATACATGAATTTTTACATAAATTTTTGTTTTCATACGAAAGATGTCTAAACGCTCCAGAGAAAAACGTAGAGAAATGTCGTAACTCCATACGAAATGTTTCTATACATGTGACAGTGGGTTGTATAGGATCAAACCTATAGAAATCATATAGAAATAATTTGTATGAAAAATATCCTTATAGAAATATCTGAATGTCATTTTTTTTATCGTTATTTTACATCGCTTCGACCCAATTAGGGTATACTGCGATGATGATCAAGACTTTAAATGGTTAGATCGCACCATTCTACCCGGCCGGGATTTGAACTCGGAACCTTTCGCATGTGAGGCAACGACTTACCCACTGCGCCAAGCCACCGGGCTGAATATCATATTTGAAAGTCCCATAAAAATTCTATACGCAATCCGTATAGAAAATTTCTATACGATTTTTTCATACGTGTAGCTACTCACAACGCGACAACTTCTATACTGATGATAAAAAAATCATGAACTAAGATTTAATGATAATCTTGAGCGTTCACCAAAAAGTTGTGCAATTACTATATTTCTTTATAACTTTTAATTTTTTTCAAATTTTTAAGACCAATCTGAGTTCCATAATACAAACGGTTGCCAAAATCGGCGATTGTCGGAAATTTGTTGATAACAAATCAGAAATCAGTAATGATTGAATCGAAATTTCGTTTACGCCATTTGAGAAAGGAATGCATAGAGTAAGTTTACTAAAAATTTTAGAACTTTTGATAAAAATTATCTCGATAAACGAGAGGTTTTGAATATGCATCCGATATCAAATTCAGTAGCGTAATATTTATGTCAAAATTTCCCCTCCTTCTCCAAACCATTTTGCGATTCTCGGCAATTTTAACGTCCTCAATAAATTAACTCAAAAAATCCATTTATTCTTGCCAACGTTTCGAGTGGTAAATCTCACTCCTCGTCAGGGCAATTAATTTATTTCCATCTATTGTAAAAAAACCTTTTTTCTCCAAAAATTTCCCTTCAAACAAAACACACGGACCACCACAACATCACAAGAAAACTTGATACCTTAACCTACGTCATTAATAAATAAAAAACCAAATAATCCCCCTCCCCCCACCCATTGTGTAAAATAATTTTTAACCATGTCAATTCTACAAAACTATCCGTCAAATTCAAATAGTCATGAAAACACATTAAAAATAATCACATTAACCACAAAATGGCATGGAGAAGGAGGAGAAATTTTGAAATTACTGCAGGCGGTTGGAAAAATAATTCTGTTGGTAATGTTTATGTTTTGAAAAAAAATATTAAAAATTACTTGAAAACAAAAATTGAGTCGCATTGTGTTGATAATTTAATTTTTTTCATGAGAAAATTTTTAGAATTTCGATATCTACAATAGTACGAAAGATGATGAACTTTTATTAATCATGGAAAAGGTCCAGATGACATATCACAATCACAATCGCAATCGCTCTGCATAAATGAAATGCACAATTAGTTCAAAAATAAATTGCTGTTTTTGATTTACTTCAACATAGCTCTTGTTAGAATGAAAGTTTCATGCATATAAAAGATAGTGATCTGCATAGAGTGAAATTTAAAAAAAGGACAATCAATTCTTTAGTACAATTTGATATTGAGAGGTATGAGGAAAAAACATCATGTAAAAACCATATTGAGATGCCTTATTTAGTGGTGAAATGGTTGATCGAGATGAGTCCATTTCAGCTCGGAGTCAGTCTTTGAATTTCTCGGAATTTCAGAAAAATAGTAACATTTTTATACAGATTTTTGTCAAGAGTCGCGCTTCAAAAGAAGTTTCTATACAAATACGTTTATTCACGTTATATTCCAATATATTCATCAACAATTCATCGTGAAAATGGATAAACTCATCTCGTTCCAACACTCCACTATGGAATCGAAAGGAAGAAAAAGTTAATTGATTGGATTGCACTTCTTGTTGCAAGGACGGTGTCCAGCGTCGATGCGAATGACCTCAGCATTCATAAAATGATTCTCGATCAGACATTTCATCAAATGTGCCATTTCCTCTGGTTTTCCCAGTCTCACTGGATTCATTGTTTCATTGATGAAGAAATTTTGCTCTTCGGTAGAAAGTGTATCTGAAAATAATATTTTATTAATAATAAAAAAGAAACAGTAAATGAAAAGTTATCACTTTAAACAATTGTGTCCAACAGTTGATCTAGAAAATTCTCAGGAGAATGAAGAAATCGAAATCTAATGAATTTTTGCTATCAAATATCTTGCGAAAAATCGTAGAAAAAAACTGTAAAATATTATAAAAAAAGATCAGAGAAATTGAATAAAATTCCAATAGAATTCTTAGAGAGTTGCACTAAAAACTTTTATGCTGAATTTTTTTATACATCTATTAATTAAGATTAATTTCAAATTCATGACTCATGACTTATTCAGTAAAATTCATTTTAATGACAAAATTAATTGCCATAACCAGAACAACGAATTACTTGCAGGAATTGACTAAATATATTATTCCAGTAGCGATAGTCAAATCAATTAAAAAATTCTGAAACAATAGAAATTATTCTAAAATATTATTCCACACACGAAAAAATTTCAAAGGAAAACCTAGCGAATTTACTAGACACTCCTATTAGATTTCTATTGAACTTTCTGTTAGGTTTTTAGGCCAATTCAGAAAAATCTCTTTTTAAATTCCAGATTCCTCCGAATTTTTAGGGAATTCTTTCACAAATTCCATGAATTCCAAGAATTTTAAAGGAATCCCCTGGAAATTCAAGGGAATTGGCACTGATTTTGGCATTTTCACTTGAAAATTCATGTAAATTGAAAATCCATGTAAACTTGAAATTGCATTGGCGTTTTCTCCTTAAATTGAATTCCAAGTCTTTTTCCGAAAAATCCAGCTAAATTTTTTTAACAGTGTATAATCGGCTAAATGTGTTTATCCTTGCTCACTTGTAAGCATCGTTGTATCGCACAAGCCGGGTGCAAGTGCAAGCACCCGAATTCCCAGCGGAGCCAAGAATCTGGCCAGTGGTTCAGTCATGGACATAACAGCGGCCTTTGAAGCACCATATGCTAGGTATCCATCAGAAATACCGTAACCAGCAATGCTACCAATGTTTATGATAACACCCCTCTGTTTATCCTTATCTGGTTCATTTTCCTTCATCATTGCCATTGCAAGTCGAATGACGTTGAATGTCCCGAAGGTGTTCACCTCGAAATATTTGTTCCAACCGTCTATTGAATGAGGCTGATCAATGTCGAAGTCGTAGAAAGGCTCTCCACCGATTATTCCAGCGCAGTTTATGAGGACATTGAGCTTACCGAATTTTTCTTTGGTCAGTTTCAATGCTTCCATAACATCTTTTTCAGATGTGACCTTGATGAAAAAATTGAAACATTTACAGTTTATTTCATTGAATGAGATCATCTTGAATTATTACTTCCGAATAGAAGCTTTGGGATTGTTCAAATTTGAGCTCTTGATTTTTTGTATTACATTAATCTACTGGGATGCAAAAGGTCCGAAAATTGAATTTTTCAAAATGATTTGTGTATGTATGTAACCAAGTTGTTCATTAATTATTCGCTAATGAATAACGATGGAATTTAATGATTTTGTTTCTGAATGAAAGCTTTGTAATCGCTCAAATTTAAGTTTCCAATTTTTTGTGTTAGGGTATATAAATATGGTCTAAAAAGTCTGAATATGCAATTTTTAGATTATGTCCGTATTTATGTATGCATGTAAGTATGTATGCGTGCGTATGTATGTGTTTTTTCCATTTTTTTCATTTTTAAAGAATTAGTTTAGTTGAGATTTTATCGAGGCTTTAGACTTGACCAACGTAGAGCTGCGGGACACCCCCGATTTTCAGACATGTACCGACCACTCGCGTACTAATGCATAATTCTTTTTTCAATCAATAGAATACGATCACGGAACGTTAACTAAGCAATTTTTAATTGATTTTAGGCATTGGAACCCATTTGTTATCAACACTTTAATTGTTCAAATCGTCCTATCATCCAAACTATGGGAGGTAGACGAAAATTTCCAAATCATAAATTATTTAAAATTTAATAAGGAATAATTTTTGTTTTTTGTCATTTTCACATATCTCTTTTAGATTTCGAGATATGAGTAATGAAAGAGCTGCGTGACTCAGGCCTACCGCGCGCCGCCAGCGGAGACCGCTGTGTCGGGTCGCGCAACTACTTTATTGCTCATAGCTAGAAAGCTCAAAGAAATACGTGGAATTGACAAAAGATAAAAATTATTCCTTATTAAATTCTAGATAATTTATGATTTGGAAATTTTCGTCTACCTCCCATATTTTGGGTGATAGGACGATTTGAACAATTAAATTGTTAATAACAAATAGAACGCTTGTTTTTTTTTAAATAACCGATAAATTTGGAATCCTTGATCCAAAAAACAGATTTCATGAAACTCGGCGATTGCGAAATTGATGCGGGATCATTAGTTCCAGCCTATAGACTACGGTGCATACCCCACCCCATTGGATGATGTTTAGAAGGGTTCCAATGCCTAAAATAAATGAAAAATTGCTTAGCTAACGTTCCGTGGTCATATTCTATTGATTAAAAAAAAATTACGCATTAGTACGCGAGTAGTGGGTTAGTCGATTTAGAAGCGCTTTTTTGAGGGTGTCCCGCAGCTCTAACGGGGATATCTCATGTGTCGATTTCAAGATCTCATGGATTTGCTAAAATTAAGACCCCATATTATATATTTCATCTACTAGATCAATTGTAAGAAGCGATAATATAGCGATTTTAGCATGTCACGTTTTGAAAATTTCTATGTTTCTCCTTTTGATGACGAAATTTGTTCGGTTTCTTTTCAAATCTGTAGATATCTTATGCCCCGGTGAAAATACATTAAATTATCTTCAAATTGTCTCCTAAATTGTTTGATTAAGGCTAATTTTCCTTAATAAATGAGAGTTTTTATGCAAAAATTGAATTTCATGATGTAAATTCAGCTTGCACTGAGAGAAAAAATTATTCCTGCCAAGGATTGATATTCTCGTCAGAAGATACTATTTTTTCAGAACGAATTTTTCCAGGACAGTCATTTTCAGAGAGTCCAAGTCTATCCTCAAAAATTACAGTGATATTGAACAATCTGATTATTATGCTACATATGACCTTGACAAAATGTTCTCCGATATCTTCCGGATTTTACAAATTGGCGATTTTCTCAGGTAANTTTTCTTGGAAGGAATACATTTTTTTCTGTGTGGTGTGGATTTTTCTGTAACTATTAGTCAAGTGAATGAAACTATTCATATAGTCCTTCAAAGGCTATTTGTTGTTATAAAACGTGAAAATAAAGGGAATTAGAATTTAAAAAATGACAACGTATATTGATCTCATGTAGTCTAGGTAGCGCACACAATTGATTAAATAAGAAATAACATTAAACTGAAGAAAATAATATACAGCAATGAATGATATACGCGACAAGAAAATGATGTGCGAAATGACTATTTGGAAGCATATTGCGAATATATTAGCCAAAATAGCTATGCCGTACCACGTATGAAAAAATGCTATAGGATTTCCTATAGGATATCCTATAGGAAATATTTATATAATAAAAAAAAAAATTCCAAGGGAATTAGAATTTAGAGAGAAAAAATTTCCGCTTCACCCAGCCGGGAATCGAACCCGGGTCTCCCAGATACGCGCCGGGTACTCTTACCGACTAAGCTACCGGGAACCACAGAAATTCACTCTCAAATTCACCTTTTTATTATATAAAATTTTTATAATATATTTTATATTATATTTTATTTTATATTATATTTTATATTTTATATTATATTTTATATTATATTTTATATTATATTTTATATTATATTTTATAGGATTTCCTATAGCATTTCCTATAGGAAATCAGATGGAGAATTCGAGCATTTCCTATAGGATTTTTCTGATAGGATTTCCCACAGGATTTCCCTATCCTTATGACCCTAATCCTGACCCTTGTGACCGATTGTTTTCGAGGCTCAATTTTGTGTATTACTTTCTATAGAAAACCCCATAGTGAATTCTATAGGAAATCCTATAGAATTTTTTCATACGTGGTATGGAGACAAAAGCAATTTCCTACTTGTTTTTATCATCATTATTCGTTCTTGTTGAATGCAAAAAAATCCAAAAAGTGAAATTTCAATATTTTTGTCAACTTCCCGATAGAGACAGATATTTCCAATTGAATTTGAATGAAATCTCTTATTGTCTGATGATAATTCAAAATCAATGGAGTTTCTCTACATTTAACATGCATATGAAAAACTTGAGGAAATGGTTATTTTGATTTTGATAATGTCAGAGATATTTTATAATCTTATAACATTGTGATATTAAATTTCATCATTTTTTTGAGAAAAGTCACTGATTTTTTCATGGCACTATATATTGAGATTCCGCATTGAAGAAGGAAAATACAATTTCCAAATTGACTTCTGATGACAAAAATTTGGTACTCGAAATTAAGACTCCAAAATTAAAGATCACAAGGGTCAAAATAAGGTTCAATAGTCAGAGTAAGGGTCATGGAAGTCAAACTAAGGGTCTTAAAATATCTCTCTACATTATAAAAATCCAAACCGACTTCTGGTGATAAGGGTCACGAGGGTCATATTAAAGGCATGTTAAGGGTTACAAGGGTCAAAATAAGGATCAAGACAGTCATATGGGGATCATATGGGAGTTGGCGAGCGGAGCGAGCAGGGGGCTAGCCTCCAGTACAATTGATATACGCACATTGGTCTGAATAAAGACGGCATTTTCTCCCATCTCTGTGGCAACATCTTCTCCCGCAGTATTCACATCTGCGATGACTACTTTTCCTCCATTTTTGATTATCATTTCGGCAGCGCATTTCCCCATTCCAGAGGCTCCACCAGTTACTAATGCAACAACATTCTGAAAGCATATGCGGATCATAAATGTGAAGAATATTAATTATGACTGTGATTTATCAAGTGGAGAACTCTTTGATGATAACTAACAATTTATAAATTCAGTATAACGAACTGGTGGACTCAGTCTAGTCGAATATGTCATCTCTATTAAGGGATAACTTATTTTTTACATTAAAAAAGGGAGTTTATAAAGCGTTCCACATCATTATGATGTCATAGGAAATGATTGGATGAGATTTGGGTGAGGTAGGAGGGGAACGGGAATTATTCTTAAAATGACTAGCAAGAAATTTTTATAGAAAAAAATGATTAGTCCAAACCGGGCTTTGAACCAAGGGCCTTCCGATCATGGATCGGCCCTACTAGAATTTATGTACGGCATGCCGGATCTAACCTCCGCCGAATTCGGCGCGAGTCTCGTTTTTCGTTAGGCATGCCGAACAGTGTATACCCCAGCTGGCTCTCATACGGCCCAGATAAGGCCAACCGAATCCAACTTAGACGAATTGGGAGAATATTTTTCTCATCATAGATCCACCCTTCAATTTGTTTAAGGGTCAATCGGCCATTAGAGTTGGACATCCCTCTCATTTGCCTATGATAATTGCCTTGCTTTTTTCTCCTGATCAACCCCCATTATCATTTGATACTCATAGTTATTTTTTTTATAGATCTCTTTTGATCCCCGAGATTATTTCTTTCAACCCTTTTGGTTGACCCTTATAATCATTTGACTCGCGAATAAGGTGTTTCCGGCCTTTCTGTTTGACCCTAGAACTAGTGGTCACTGATAAAATCCTAGCCGATTGCCGAATGTCTACCGAATCTCTGCCGAAGGTGCGAGGGGGGGGGTGGGGGTGGAAGGGGAGGGGATGAATTTATAATTGTTATTATGATATCAAACTATTAAAACGTCAAAAAACATAATGAAAGTATGTATATGCAGGCACCCGTGGTTCATATAGACAGTACGAATTTCATACAACACGAATAGCGCGGTAGTCTAGTCGGCTAAGGCGTAGGATTAGTAATAGGTAGGTCTCGAGTTCGAAACCAGTCATAGGCGGAATATTTTAGGTTAAAAAAAATCGGTTCTTCAGCGATGAATACGTTGGGGGGTCAATAGTGATGAATAATAGATGACCAAATTTGATTTCAAATAATTATTTTCCTTTTTTTACATTATTGGGGATTATCACGGATGGCCGAATCATCCATGCATACATATATTTGCAATTCTTGAACCGGCGTCATTCAAAAATTTTCGGAACAATTTTGAGAGTAAGCATTGAATTAGAAATAATTGATGACAAATTACCAATAAAATTGATAATAATTTTAATTGGCTTCTATGATTCGGCCTGGATGCGGCAACCATGATCCGGCCGGGACGTTCAAAGTGCGTAAGGTTTTTCGTCCGGGGCGGACTCGGTTGACCACACCAGCACCGAACGTCAGGGTTGGCATGCCAAATCAGGGCCGAAAGGTTTACCGAGTCAAATTTCTAATAGAGGGGTGGTCTCCCAACTGAGCTATCCGGCTCCTAGCCATTTCGTCGTCCTTCGTATGGCATTCATTTTTACATTAAAGAAGGTAATTTATATAGCGTTCAATATCTCGTGCTTTTAAATACATATTCGTTTATAGAAAAATATGCATAGATGTTGATTTTATTTTTTGCTCAATGCGATGAAAATAAGAAAATTTCAAACTGAATTATAACCCTTACAAGACGAATGCATGAAGTAATGCCCAGTCGATATTGAAAATAAAATAAAACTATCTGCGCATAAATGTAAGATTCTGCCTATAAATTAATCCTGTAATCCCCCGAGTGGAAATTCCCGTGGGGTATTGATCAAGTTGACGGATCCGGTCTTGATCAGACATGTTACGCCTCTGACGAATCCGGATTTGATCAGGACGAATGGATCCGAACTTGATCAAGTTAACTGTATGAAAACCGGATGACCTGTCTGTCAGTATCAATAACAATTATCAATGATAATTAAGCCAAAACAAAAGATAATTCAATTCTTTCACCGTAGGCTGCCTCTCTTAATGAATCTCTACTGTTATTATCTCTGAAAAAGCTTATTATTTTTTTTACTGATGCTGGGGATCGAACCGGGGACCCTATCATTGCTAATCCTATGCCCTAACCACTACGCTGTCGCGCTATTACTATTGAGTAAACTGTACATTGCCTATATGATTTGTATCGGGGTATTCGTTGAATTTACGATTATTCCTGATCTCGCGGATGTGCGTGTGTATTCTCAGAGATAAAATATGTTCAATTAAATTTTTATTTATTTCATTAATGAATAATAATAATTATAATAACAATAACACTAATAAATAAATACACATTTAGTGATGTTTTATTCTCAAGATCATTTGCGTGTAAGTTTGATACTCCTCTAATACGTATTTACGGCATCATCATCCCTCCCTTCTGTACATTTGAGAAGGGCTGGCTGTTATTTAAATTGATTAATTAAATTTAATTCATTAAATTACAGTATAATGATCCTTTTTAACCCCTCACGTACGGTGCCTTTCTGATACCAAGTCTACCACACGCTCAATGCTCTTCGCATCCCATATTTTCTGATGAATGAAAAATTATAGATAAAATATATAATTGAAGCTACAGTATTCACCTTCCCAATGGTATTAGTCCGATTGTATTATCTGCCATATTTTCGGAAATATTCAATTTTGAAAAGAGCTGTGCGTTTTTACATGGATCGGTATGACATACCGAGCCCGTACGTGAGGGGTTAAAGATTGAAAATAATTATTGATAATGGTTGATAAAACTTAATGTGAATAGTATAATAATAGTTAATTAAATTATCCGAAAAACTTATTAAAATTAATGTCAGGTGGAGCGGATCTGAATCCGATCAGTTTCTCTTCAATTGACCCCTTTCAAATGCCGATCAAGGACATCAAATCCGAATTTGATCTAATTGGGATCAGGCAGCCGAATTCAGGGTGAGAATGTGCCTACCTGATCAGAACTTGATCTGAATCATCCTGCAGTTTTTCGGATCCGATCTACTGGATCAAAATTTGGTCAGGTTCTCATCAAGCATCATCCGATCATGTCTACCTGGTCAGAACTTGATCTGAACCCGCCTGTAGTTTTTCGGATCCGATCTACTGGATCAAAATTTGGTCAGGTTCTCATCAAGCATCATCCGATCATGTCTACCTGGTCAGAACTTGATCTGAACCCGCCTGTAGTTTTTCGGATCCGATCTACTGGATCAAAATTTGGTCAGGTTCTCATCAAGCATCATCCGATCATGTCTACCTGGTCAGAACTTGATCTGAACCCGCCTGTAGTTTTTCGGATCCGATCTACTGGATCAAAATTTGGTCAGGTTCTCATCAAGCATCATCCGATCATGTCTACCTGGTCAGAACTTGATCTGAACCCGCCTGTAGTTTTTCGGATCCGATCTACTGGATCAAAATTTGGTCAGGTTCTCATCAAGCATCATCCGATCATGTCTACCTGGTCAGAACTTGATCTGAACCCGCCTGTAGTTTTTCGGATCCGATCTGCTGGATCAGAACTTGGTCAGGTTCTCATCAGGCATCATCTGATCATGTCTACCTGATCATAACTTGATCTGAACCCACCTGTAGTTTTTCGGATTCGATCTGCTGCATCAGAACTTGGTCAGGTTCTCATCAGGAATCACCGGATCAGTCGAACCTTACAAAAATCTGATCACGTTCTGATCGTGCTTCAGGTGGGCCTGAAGCAATTTCCACTCGGGCCAATGAATGCGGTAACCTACTATTGTTTCTACCATGTGAAACGATATAGCTTCAAGTTCTAACTTTTGTATTCAAACTATATTATAATTACTGTGTAACTCTCACATCCAAACAGTATTTTTTGCTATTGTATGTCCATTTAAACACCCCTCTACCATAGGGCGATGACCCTGAAGGGCAGATAATGAATAAATAAAATGTTGATTTTTCTATATAACTTATTCTGTTGAGATTTTTCTATAAGAATTCTTGGTCATGATTTTTCCAATTTTCGTCTTGGACGTTATGAGAAATATAAAAATGCGGGGGAAAAAAACTTGAAAAATTTATGCTCAAAAATTTTTCTAGAAAAATCGAAATCTATTGATTTTTTTCCATCAAATATTCACGGAGAGAAGAGCCATGGTAAAGAGTCCCATGTCAAATTTACGACTTGTATGTATTCCTAAAATTTAGAAAGCAGTACTATGATATGGTAATGATTCCTATGGGGTATGGTATTACATACTATGGGCCATGGTAAGTCTCTCGATGGGAATGAAGCCTATGAACATAGGAGAAATTACTATATTGAATAGTACCCTCTACCATGTTACAGGGTAGAGTATACTATTAATTATGGTAAAGAGACCCATAGTCGTTTGGTAAAGTTTACCATAGTTTATAGGAGAGATTACCATGCACTATGGTAACATGACCTATATTATATGGTAAAACGTGAAAAAGTCATAAAATGTCACGAATATAAAAGATAATGATCACTAAACTATATCATGATAATGATGAGTATAATGAGATAGAAATTTCAAGTGGGATATATATTTATAAATTTTTCCCTTCCCGTATACCCTTTCGGGTCTTTACGATTTGTTCCCTTCCCACCCCCCAACCCCCTGTACCGCATTCGCCGAAGGACAAGGGAAAACTTCATTTGAGGGAAAAAACTGCCCAGGTACAGTCGTCTCTTGCGAGACTCCCGCTCGACAATGAAACCGTGAGATTTAGAGTGTCACAAATTTTGGCCCTTCCAGCCGGGAATCGAACCCGGGTCTCCCGCATGCCAATCCCACACTCCAACGACACAGCCACCGCCGTCGGTGATATATATTTATATTTAACGCATTTGGTTTCGACGCTGTTTTAATAATTACAGAGTATTTTCTTATAATGTGGGATTCTTTCCTATCAATAATCATCAATATACCTAGATTAATCATATCGAATATCGTAAGGATCATATTTAACAATAACATATTTACATCTGTATTTTAATATCAGAATATACATATCTACAGAATAGTGGGATTTTTTGCCCCAAATTTTACCTAATCATTGGAAGAATTTTTGGCATTACGGTGCTATAAAAATTATTAAAAAATNTATTTACATCAGTATTTTAATATCAGAATATACATATCTACAGAATAGTGGGATTTTTTTCCCCAAATTTTACCTAATCATTGAAAGAATTTTTGAAATTACGGTGCTATAAAAATTATTAAAAAATTCAAATGTGAGTAATTAAACTCAACAACTTTGCGTGAGAATTTAGACCCAACGTTTCGGAATGTATTGCTTTCCATTCCCGGAGGTAGCTATATACGATAAGATACAAAATTTCATTTGTCGAAATGTCAATGTCGACCACCTCTTATCATTTATATCAATTTCATAGGATTGGAAATGTCTTTCAAAGGAGTATTCTTGTAATTGTTGAGTAACAAGAATAACTTGATTATTTGGCTCTAGGATTACGATATTGATCAAATGTAATTGAGGACCAGCCTCGGTCGGCATCATCAATATTACGTTTTCCCTAAAATCATGTCCCAAATAATTGAGAGAGCTTACTTGTAATATCTGCAGATCGATTGGACGGGAGAACTGGCAGAAAATGACGATAATTTGGATCTAATTCTAATCTCTTGTTAAGAGCTGGACCAGGGAGAAAAGGTGGTGGTAAAGACTTGTTGATGAGTAACCGATAATTCAATTTTAATTGTGCCTTGATGGCTATTTTTAGTATTTTCTACGATATCGAGAAAAGGAGAGATTAGCATGTATAAATAGTACTGATTATCATGCACATGGTAATCCCACGTACGAAAAAACGAATGGGCCGAGCTTGGCCCAAGCCCGGTGGCCGGCCTGCCGAACTTCGGGACCCGTTCCTCAACCGGGACCGCGCCGGACTTGGTTGAAACCTGGAATGATAACATCGGGCCAGGTCTGGGCGCCCATCTCGGCCCAGCGTTGATTGCCAGTCGTTGGCCAGGCTCAATTAAACATTACTTAATTACATGAATATGATAATATGGGTGATTGAAATACAAGTAATTTAATATTACTCCTCAGCATTCGTAATAGGTTCAACGAGGAAAAAAAATCAATACCGGCATGCGACTGGTGCCGCACTGGCTGCCAAACTGTTCATGGCAATTATCAATAATAACAAAAACAAAATAATTAACATTTTTTAGGATGATTTTTAGTATTGATTGTGCCCTACCTACCAAACCCTAACGCAATCATCGCTGAAAAACCGATTTTGTTAACTTAAAATATTACCCCCTAACGTGGGCTCGAACCCACGACCTCACGACTACTAATCCGACGCCCTAACCACTAGTCTACCGCGCAATTCGTAAAACCTCTACTTCAAATCTTCCATATTAATTCCATCTCGGTTTTTTTCGACTTGAATGTTTTATTATTCAGTTGATAGAAATATTAAGTGATTCAACTACAGTTTAATCGGTAAATTAATTCAATAATGAATAATAATAATTATTATTATTAATTACAATAATAATTATAACAATTAGGATTACTGTTGAATGACGATTCTTCTTCTTTTCGTAATAATTAGCGAGTAACATGTGACTTCAACACCTACAATGTCACCATTTTTTTACGATTACACCCTTAATATTTTACCCTCAAGTTTCCACCCTTACCATTCAACCCTCAGAATGTCAGTCTTATGATTTTTTCGCCCCTTTCCATTATTGCGATTTGACCCTTACAATTTTACTCTTCAGATTTTACCCTTATGATTCCACCCCTATGATTCCATTCTCATCATCTCACCCTTACGACTTAACCCTTACAGTTACACCAACGGCTGGAGCCCAATGACCAAGCTCCGGGCCACCGCTGGCTGAGGCTTGGTTATCGAGCTCCGGCATGCCAGTGTCCGGCCAAGGCTGGGCCAGATCTGTCAACCAAGGCTCGGTTACCCGCCCTTCTCCCGAGACTCAAGCCCTGGTCCCCAGGGATGGCCGAACCTCGGTCCAAGCCTGGGCGCCCAGACTTGGCAAGCCCAGGCTTGTGCCAGGCTTGGCCCGTTTCTCCAACACTGGCATTTCGTACGTGGGAATCTCTCCTATAATAATGGTTGTCGTTGCTATATTGTATAGTAATGCCTACCATGTTCGAATGGTATTGATTACTATACAACATAGTACGCTTTACTGTTGAACATAGTAAAAATTACTATTGAGATTGACTTAGAAACCCTTTTAGCATAATTTATGGTAACCTCTACCACATAAAAGTAACCGCTACCATTCACTTTTCTCCGTGTATCTTAACCAAATGACAGAGTAACGTTGCATAATTTTCTATAGAAATGATGCAAAAGCAAGTAATTTTTTTTAGTAGAATTCTAATAGAACTTCAAGAGAATTCTTATAGAGTTGCAATACAAATTCAATCCAAATTAGGTTTTATCAACCATTAGTAACGCATTCATTCCTCAATTTGAGGAAACGAGAGGATGAACGACGGCAATGCGCAATCAAATTTCACCCCNCCTCTTCATGAAGAATGCCAATGGCCAATGGTCTCTCCTGCAGATTCTAATTCAATTCTTTTCAAAGATTGAAAAGACGTATATGAAATGAAAAAAATTGAAGCACTCGGGATTTGACTCGGGTGGGTATCGAAGCTCACGGCCTTTCGAGGGCTCTCGCTTGGATAGTGAAAGGTCGTGGGCTTCGATACCCACCCAAGTGAAATCCCGAGCGCTTCAATTTTTGTCATTTCATATGCGTCTTTTCAATCTGTAAAAAGAATACAATTTCAATAGAATTTCTTAGAGAAAGCTCTAGGTTATTCCATCAATTTTTTTTATGCCTGGACGGAGAACATGGGTGAGACAAAGACCCCACAAGATCCAATGAGACACAAAAATCTTAAAAATGAAAAATTTTATGCTTAAATCTAGAAATAAACCTTGTAGCCCAAAAAATTGCTTAAGAAGAGCGCTTTCAATTATTTGTCTCAAAATCATCTATTATTACTGAGTTTATTTATCTAATTTAATTTAATTTATTTAATTATTCTTAGTTTAATTCATTTAACAATCAACGAACTAATCTTCATTGTTGAAAAAATGCTTCAACAATTGCCTATTAAATTGAGAGAAAATGAAAATAATACCTGCATTGTCGTCTCCATTTCAATGATTTCGTAATATTTTACAACACAACCTTCTGACAGTAGATCGGATTTACGAATGTAGCTGCAGCCAGCTGGGAGAATATGTAAGTCGGAGATATCACACGATAAGGAGTTAATCTCCAACTCGAATATAAAACTGTTTGCGGTCCATTATGCAGAAAACACTTTTTCATTATGAGTACGATTGTGTATCAACAAGAGACTTAACTCTAACAGATATTCGTTAATGAGCTCTTCTAAAAATACATTTCATGAGAAACAAATAATTTCGGATGACTTTCGAGTCTGGAATGCGCGAATAATCTCAAGAGCAATTACTCAAAATCGTACAATATGCAATTTGCTTTCATATTGCGTAATAAAAAACTGCATACTATACTGTTTGGACAAGTTGTTTAAGTTTGTTTATCGAATTCTGTGTTGACGAGTTTAGGGAACAAGAGCAAAGAGGCCACAAAAAAATATTTTACGTGTTTTAATTCAAATCAACACGGAAAAAAATATCCTCGAATCGTGTATATACACGGAGAGAAATGTTGGACAAAAATTACCTAGAAAATCGTAACAAATTTTACTAGGGGAGGGTGGGGCAAAACGGACCACTGGCAGGAAATTGATAATTTTTTTATTTTTTTGATAATTTTTGCTTCCGAATGGAAGTAAACACAAAAATTCAAAATCATTTGTGGTTTGAGGTGATTAGCAAATCTGATCAAATTGCGGTTCAATGACCAATTTTCTAAAATGACCAATTTTCTGCCAGTGGTCCGTTTTCCGCTAGGGGTCCGTTTTGCCCTCTGGTCCGTTTTTCCCTCCCGGTCCGTTTTGCCCTACCCTCTCCTAAATGAATGGTAATCGTGGAGCGAAATGTAATTCAGTGAAAAAATACCGGTTTTAATGGACATTTAACGATGTTTTCAGTAAAAAAAAACATCTATGGATGCAAAAATTGTCTTCCTGTTTAGGAAAATTTGACACATCGGTACACTGTTAGAAATTTTTTGAAAATTACGTAATAGTTGCACTTGAATTCTCAATGTTGTGAATTTGAATTCAATTTAAGATCAAATCGTTTATGGAATCTCTCATTCAGGTTGGAAATTCAGAATAATTGCGCTTTCCATGTTAGATCATTACTGATATTTAAATGACATTTAGAATTTTCAAATTCATTGCTGAAACTAAACATTACATCCAACTGAATTTTCAGTGGATTGAAAATTCAGGAAAATTGTTGCTTGAATTTTCAAATTATTTAATAATTTTCATTATCATATGGACCTGAAAATTGCAGTTTTATTGAATACTCCAGAATTCAACTGATTTTTCGATAACAAAATATATGAAAATTTGGTTTGAATGAATGATTGTTAAAAATTTCAAGATTATTTACTTGAAATTTCAGGAGTAATTTGCTAACAGTGCCGGGTATTTCTTTGTTTTGTATCGATCTGAAAGTCATGAGAACGGACGGAAGTGAATTTTTACCGAACAGGTGCAGTAAAAATCATTCTCCGTTAGACAAAAATTATACGAAAAATTAGAGCAATTATTCACGATTACTGGGATAATTTTTTATGGAATGCAGGGTAAATTCTACAGTTTCGGTGCAACGAAACACGTTCACGTTCACGTTGGCTCACGTTCAATGAATTTTTCCGAGCCAACGGAGTAAAATTCACTATTAATCTCGCACTTTTTTCCCTATTTAAGGTGAGAAAGTACTGAAAATTTAGCGGACTCCACGATTACTTGATTTGTTCGATAATTTTCCATCGTGTAATATTCCGGAATTAGAAATATCTGTATTCCGGGATCTGGAATAATATACCGGAATCCGGAATATTATATTCTGGAATCCGGAAGAATGTACCGGAATTCGGAAGAACATAACGGAATCCAGAATAATATTCCGGAATTCCAGATATTTGTGTTCTCAATTTTGAAATAATACATTGACACGCAGTCACATGGTGCGATTGAAGTCAAAGAGTTGTAGCGTCGTTCAAGCTCCTCCCCCCCCCCCCCNCCCCCCCCAGAGATTAACGCCATCACCAAAAACATGATTATATGGCGTGCGATTTAAGCTACTAAAAAATCGCACCAAGTGGGTTGACTTGGAATTTTTATGTATTCAGTGCCTGACTCTTTTCGTGATTTCATCACTTTTTGTAAACAAAACGCTCGGACTCATTCTGAGCGAGTTTTTTTGCAAAAATTTATTTTTGTTTTTCTGGAGATTTTTCCATACGTGAAGCTATATTTATTTACATGAAGCCCTAAAAAATATGGACACAAAAGTCTCATCAATCTTTATCGTTGATGTGTTCACTAAATTAATGATAAAAATACTTTGCGCCATGTTTGATGTTTCGTCTCTCTCGAAAATACCCTCACTAACCTATTTCACACTCCACTCACCCGCGCGCCCATCCCCTCTTCTCCCAACTGCGGAGATCCCTTTATAACCTAGCGGTTGCTGGGTTGATAACTTCGACAAACAAACAAACAAATAAAAATCCACTTCCAGTCTTAAGTAGATTTGATTATACAGTGGACTCTGGTTAGAGTCGACTGTTTTGCGGGATAGGGGAAGCGCATTCGGAGAATTCGACTCTATTTCCCTGCCCCCACTACGCGCTCACGCCGAGCCCGACTTCCGAGAACTGGGAACGATAAAATGAAAAATAGTATTTTTTTTTTTACGGCCTCGGAGTCCCTTTTTCGGGTCCCATTCGGCACTGTATCCAACCCTATGCATGCGGCTGTAGATTCTACACTGTACCGCATTCGCACTTCTATAGAACATAGAAGTAGCATGGGGAAACCACAGAAAACCCATGCCGGTACAGGCGGTTCCTCTATTAGCAACCTCCCGCTCGCCGGAGCCTTCCGTTGAAAAATTCGGTTCCACGGGGAATCGAACTCACAACCTTTCGCACACTAGACTTGCGTCTAATCCACTCGGCCACCGACGTCGGTCAAAAAAATACTATTTCTTTTCTCTCTCAATTCAACACTTTATTTTAATGATAAACTTTAGTTCACAGCTTCAACTATAATAGCAATATTCATATAGATTCAGACGATTTTTTTATTATCAATATTTTTAATTTCATTGACTATATTTGATCACAGAAGCTTTGTACCTAACATTCCATAGAACAGATATTTCTTCTGGAGTTAACGAACCATGTGAATTAAAAATGTTACAGTCGTTTTCTTTACCTCGCTTCATTATTTTATTTAATCCAATTTCGAATTAATTTTATGCCAACAAAACGAGATCCTCCCCCCATGACAGCCAGAAGTGGACTAAATTTTTTGATCGACAATTCAAATGCAGAATATTTTATTTTTCGTTTTTACTCGACTCGGAAGACAATAGCAATTTGCAGAAAATATTGGAGTGTTTACTCTCCGGCTTGCGTGGGGACAGAGTGGGGGAAGCGCTCGAGCGGCGAGAAAAAAAAATTGAGGGGAAGTTCGACACTAACCAATATGCCTCTAACCAGAGTCCACTGTATTCTGAAGAAAACTTCTCCGTCTTATGAAATGCGTAGTTCTGTAATGATATCTGCCCCCAAACTTTGTTATTCAGACAAAAAAAAATATTCTCCCAACTCAAACAAAATTTTCTTCTTTCTCAAGGTAACGATTAAAAATTATGACCATCGCATAAAGATTGCCTGGCTGTCAGGCCGATTTACATCTAATGAATAACGCCGGATACGAATAAATGAAAATCATATCAGATGAAACAAAACTTTTTCCTTGACTTCTACAGGGAAAATTTTTCCCAAAATCTACGCACAAACGAAGGTTCCCTTCAACTTTTTCCCTCATGCTGCACGCGATGATTCCATAAAGCATAACTAATTGATAAAATACCCCGCGTTATAAACGATCAAGCTCTGCGCTCGCATTACTCACGCCCATTCATCATTCCTCCTAAACTTAACATTCTTCTTCACGCTGTCTCATTCGTTATTTAGCCTCCAATTTTATATCTCCAGAAGCTCATTCAGTCGTGGAGAGAGTTATAAGTGATGGTCACATAATATCTAGGCTTCTAATTTTATCATGAAGTGGGTCGAATACCCTTGCGTACGCTTAATACTTTGCATTATCAATGGCATTATCGCATGATCAATTTAAATGTCCCTGTATTTATGAGTTACCCGGGTAGAAATCACGCCGCTCGAGCTCGGCTCGGAACCCGTATCCCAGCTAGAAATACGCCACTCCGCCCCAGCTTGGGATAAACTCCACGCGCGTCACATATACCCGAGGTTGAGCCGCGTCACGCGCTCACAGCCCAGCGTTAGACTATTACGCGCAACGCTTCGCCGGGCTTTAGTTGAATTGACGCAAAAAAATAGAATTTTTCAATAGAATTGCAATAAAACTTAAATAGAATTCTCATAGAGCTCCAATAGAAATTCAATAGGAATTCTTAGAGAAAGTGCCAGATTTTATATTCGATGACAGAGGGAAAAATCAGTAAATTTCAAATTTTATAGAAAGTTCAGTGGAATTCCATTTTTTTATAATAAGAAGACAAGGATTTTCCAAAGTATTCAAATTTTAAATCGATATTGTAAAAATGCCTAAATATCATTCTATTCCACCCTCCACTCGAAACGACACGACTCAATCGGAGCTGAGTTCTAAGCGTTGAGCCACAGCTCAAACTCAAGTGCCGGGTTATGCCGTCTGATGAGCGTTCGACTGTGAGTCGGTATGGCGCGGCGTGTCGCGGCGTGAACTCGGGTCAAGCGGCAAGCCGAGGCTGAGCTCGCGCTCACCCGAGTTGCGGCTGAATCCCCGGTTGAATTTCTACCCGGGTAGCCACATATCGTAAAACTCATCCGTCCAGTCGTTTACTGTCTGCAATCCATTATGAAACGATCCTTGTTGACCTAACACTCTTAAAAAAAGAAAACAAGGAAAAATTAAAAATAAATTGTTTCGAGATCAATACGGTAATAGACTCCAACTAGGTCAATCTCAAACACAAAACACTAATTTTC